TGTGGTGTGTGTGTGTGTGTTGTGCGTGCGTGCGTGCGTGAGGGAGTGCGTGCGTGCGCGCGCGCGTGTGCGCGTGCGCGTGCGTGCGTGTGTGTGTGTGTGTGTGTGTGTGTGTGTGTGTGTGTGTGTGTGTGTGTGTGTGTGTGTGTGTGTGCGCGTGTGCGTGTGCGTGTGCGTGTGCGTGTGCGTGTGCGTGTGAGTGTGCGTGTGCGTGTGCGTGTGCGTGTGCGTGTGCGTGTGCGTGTGCGTGCGCGTGTGCGTGTGCGTGTGCGTGTGTGTGTGTGTGTGTGTGTGCGTGTGCGTGCGTGCGTGCGTGCGTGTGTGTGTGAGAGAGAGAGTGTGTGTGTGTGTGTGTGTGTGTCGCAAAGGGCGGTGGCGAACGATCGATCTTCTGGGTCTCTTGTGGGGAGCCCAGCAGAACCGTCTTGCCGAAGACGGCCTCCGCATTGCCTCAAGGGGCCCACGAATTGATTCTGAGAGGATGTCTTAGGGAGGGCCCCCAGTGCCAGGAGATCCCAAAGAAGATCCCAAACAACAAAAAATCTCCAAGGATCCCCCAAGCCGACAGGCAACAGGGCTACAACATCGTGGCGCTACTTCTCAGATGGTCCCAAGGCGGTGCTGCTGAGCCTCTGCATGAGTGCTCGGTGTAACCACTCTGCGCCTATGCCGACGCAGCACCTGCGCGGTGGCCAGGCTTGCTGCAAGAAGGTTTAAGCAGCTGGACAAGATGCAGGGCGAAGGAAAAGTGGAGCGCGCTCGAGGAGAACTCAAAAGTGTTCCACGAGGGGGCTTCCAAAAACACGCTTCCGCTGCGGGGCCAGCGTCGCCCCCCAGCGCCAGCTCGGGGGCAACTCCCGCAGAGGACGGGAGAAGCGAGGCCGAGGCCCCCTCCGACCAAGGCGTCGTCGCTGCAGGCGTGGCGGAGCTCCCGCTCTGGATCCCGCCGATACCCCCCACGCCGAGTGGCAGAAGCGGACGACGTCGAGGTGGTCCTCGGGCGAAGCGGCAAACCGCTCGTTGAGAGCGCCTGAGACTGTTTCGCGACAGCGGCCGTCAGCGGCCCGGGCCCCTCCCCCCCCCAGGTAACGTCACGAGTCGTGCTGAACTCCTTGTTGTCCGCGGCTATTCCGTCGCATTCCCCAGACAGCGCCGGCGCGAAACGTGACGTTCCCGGCCCCCCGCCCTCCCCTACCCCATCCCCCTCTAGCAGCGCCCGTTATCGCCCAGACATGGAAAAAAACGCTCTCGTGCCGCTGCCCCCCCCATGCGCCGAGGAGGAGGAGGAGGAGGAGGCGGAGGAAAAGGAGGAGGCGGAGGAGGAGGAGAGGGAGGAGGAGGAGGAGGAGGAGGAGGAGGAGGAGGAGGAGGAGGAGGAGGAGGAGGAGGAGGAGGAGGACCTCTCCTGGACTGCGCCCTAACCCGACTTCCTGGGAAAATCGGGCCGCGGCGACGAGGGCTCTCCGGGCCGAGCGGCGGCATCGGTGTCGCTGCCTCCCCCGGAGATGGGGAGCCTGCCGAGGAGGCCCCGAGGGAGCTCCAGGCGGATCCAGCCGTGGCGACGAGATTCCACCCGCAGGCGGCCCGAGGGGGCGGAGACCGACGGGAGGGCGTCGGCAACGGCCTGGCACCAGCTCTCCGACGATGCGACGCTTTCGGTCCTGGCACTCTTCCGTAGTTTCGGCCCCTCGGGACCATCAAACATTCGAGGCCTCTTAGATGGGGTCGGGGTAGACGGGGTCGGAGGATCGCGCCGCATCGCTGATGCATCGGCGATACATCGCTGATGCATCGGGGACGCATCGGCGACGCCAGCGTGGAGAAAATTGGGCTCCACATCGAGCCGCATCGCCGATGCATCGACGATGCGGCGCGACCCTCCGACCCCATCTACTCGGACCCCTAGAAACATGGATCCGGGGCGAACAACAGCTACTCCCAGTGAGACATGAAATCCGAAGTAGCAACAAAAACAAACAACACCGTGAAAATGACGACCAGAGCCCCAGACCCTATCTGCCTGCGCTATTTTTCGAGCTGGACCATCATCATGCGAGGGCCCCTGGGCCCGAAACAAGGCAGAACCGCCTAGCTGGCAGAAAATGAGACGCCAGGATCTCGAGGAAGGGGTCGAGACCTCCGCAGATGGAAGCAAACGCACACATCGTCGGAGATCGGGGTCTTTCTCTGGGTGACGCAAAAGGGGGTCCAGCTGAAAGGGCGTGGTGCAATAGGTTTAGGGCAATTGTAGTGCAAATGTATTACGCCGGAGAATTGTATTGGACTGTATTGCAAGTCATGAATTGCACGCGAAAATACAGCAGCACATTTGCGCCCCGAAATGTAGTGCACGCCCCAGATGTAGTGCAACCCAACAAATCTATTGCACCAAATCTATTGCACCACCCCCTTGCCGCTGGACCATCTTTAGGGTCAACCCGACTTTTGCCTCATGTCGGGCCTGTCCCCCTACAGGGGGATTTTCGACAAAAAATAAAACATACCCCACAAATACTCAAAACATAATCCAGAAATAGTCCGGGGACTATTTTTTCATTCTTTTTTGACCCTTTTGGGGTCTGTTTGGGTTTTTTTTTGTTCGTCGAAAATCCCCCTGTAGGGGGACAGGCCCGACTTAACTTTTGCCCCATCCGGAGGGCCACGCGTCGGGCGTGCCCCACGGGTTGCCCGGGAAGTGCTCCGGCGGCGGCGGGGCGTCCCGCCTGGCCGGCACCGCCGCCGCCGCCGTCACGGCAGCGGCGGCGAAGGAGACGACGGCGGCGGCCCCCGAGGTCCTGGCGTCCCAAGGCAAACTCTGTGTTGCTCCCCCTCGTACTTGAGAACGAGATCGCCAAAAAGAGCTTCGAGCGCCCAGAAAAAAAAACACCGAACCGGTGTCGAGCGAGCGTCGCCTCACCCAGGGCCCGACGCGTGCGTTCTCAGGCTCTTAGTTGCTAGTGCTCGAAATCCTTCCTGGCGGTTTAAGCTAAAGTAGGTCCCAACGTCATAACGCAAGTCTGCTCACTTTCGGGCGCAGGGGCCATCACTGATCGATCCGGGCCGAGAAGTGCCGCAGGACGACGGGGCCAAGAGCCTTCCCGCCGCACTGTGTCTCACTATCGCCATGCTGTGCTGTCTACGGCGTCGGATCTCCCCTTAGATCTCATACGTAGTGCGATGGACATTGTAACGTCGCGGAAGATCGAGACAAGAGCTGTATCAACCCCGATCGATGCGTGTCGGTGTGATGGTTCTGGGCCTGGGATCAAGCGAAAGTGCCCGGCGCGGAAAAGATGCAACGCCAGGACTCCACACCATGTTTCATTTTTGTCCGCGACGTCGGAACTCACGGGGAAACCGAAAGGTACCAAGAGCGCTTCGCACTGGACCTCTCCTGGCGTGCGCTCTGATCAGAACTTCGACGCGGAGCCAGCCATGGTGACGAAGGCCTCCTGGGAGGCACAAAAAGGCAGAAAAGGTCATGGACAGCGGCATCGGCATAATTTAGGATGAGGAGGGGGAGGATGAGGAGGAGGAGGAGGAGGAGGAGGAGGCGGAGGAGGAGGAGGAGGAGAGAAGGAGGAGGAGGAGGAGGAGGAGGAGGAGGAGCAGGAGCAGGGGGAGGAGCAGGGGGGAGAGGCGGCGGAGAAGCAGGGGGGGAGGAGGAGGAGGAGGAGGAGGAGGAGGAGGAGGAGGAGGAGGAGGAGAGGGAGGAGGAGCCGGGGGAGAGGAGGAGGAGAAGCAGGAGGAAGAGGAGGGGAGGAGGAGGGAGGAGGAGGAGGAGTGAGGAGGAGAGGAGGAGGAGGAGGAGGAGGAGGAGGCAGGAGGAGGAGGAGGAGGAGGGTAGGAAGGTGGTGCGAGCAGGGGGAGGAGCAGGGGAGAGCAGGGAGAAAGCAGGGGGAGGAGGAGGAGGAGGAGGGAGGAGGAGGAGGAGGAGGAGGAGGAGGCGAGGAGGAGGAGGAGGCGGCGGAGAGAGGAGGAGGAGGGGAGGAGCAGGCGGAGGAGCAGGGGGAGGAGCAGGGGGAGAAGCAGGGGGTGAAGCAGGGGGAGGAGGAGGAGGAGGAGGAGGAGGAGGAGGAGGAGGAGGAGGAGGAGGAGGAGGAGCCTGAGGCGTGTCAGTCTGGCGCACCAGGAAGTCGAACATCTTCCTGTACCCAGGGATAGTCACGATCGCATTGCGAGCCCGAGCCGCGGCACACACAACCTCGAGCAGGCACACGTTGGGCCCGTGCCAGTTTTTCAATTGAGCCCAGTCCCGATCTCCATAAGCTCAAAGCGAAAACGAAAAGATGAGGAGGGAGGAGGAGGAAAGAAGGAGGAGGAGGAGGAGGAGGCGGAGGGGAGGAGGAGGAGGAGGAGGCGGAGGAGAGGGAGGGAGGGAAAGGGAGGAGGAGGGATCGAAGGAGGAGGAGGGGAGGAGGAGGGAGGAGGAGGAGGAGGAAGAAGGGAGGAGGGAGGAGGAGGAGGAGGAGGAGGAGGCGGAGGATGAGGAGGAGGAGGAGGAGGGAGGAGGAGGAGTGAGACGAGGAGGAGGAGGAGGAGGAGGCAGGAGGAGGAGGAGGGGAGGAGGAGGCGGAGGAGGAGGAGGCGGAGGAGGAGGGAGGAGGAGGAGGAGGAGGAGGAGGGGAGGGAGGAGGGAGGAGGTTGAAGTGGGAGGAGTCGGAGGAGGAGGGAGGAGGAGGAGGAGGAGGAGGAGGAGGAGGAGAGGAGGAGGAGGAGGAGTCTAGAGGAGGAGGAGAGCCAGGAGGAGGAGGAGGAGGAGGAGGAGGAAAGGGAGGAGGAGGGATAAGAAGGCGAAGAGGGAGGAGTAGGGGAGAAGGAAGGGGGAGGAGGAGGAGGAGGAGGAGGAGGAGGAGGAGGAGGACGGAGGAGGAGGAGGAGGAGGAGGAGGAGGAGGAGGAGGAGGAGGAGGAGGAGGAAAAAGGCACATAAAGGCAAAAACGAGTCGTGGACAGCGGCTTCGGCCTTCTTTACTCCTCGGATCCCAAGGTCTGGGGCGGGGCACGCTCCCTCTGGCTGGATCTCAAGGAAGGGCTTCGCGGGATATAACTCGTGCCTCCAGCGGCCGTTCGGGACGATCGGGGCAGCCGGGGACGCCCCTCGGCGAGGCGCTGCCGCTTGAATGCACCTCGAGACTTGCAGGCGCAGGCCGCCTGAGGACCACAGAAAGCGCCCTCAAACATGCGCGGCTGTTGCGACACAGTCGCAACGCCTGGATCTCAAGGTCCGGGGCTGGAGCGTTACTTCGTGGAGGGGGAATGCCTGGGGGCGCGCAGAAGCGTGCCCCTCTCGTGCCCATTCTGGGATCCAGAAGGCCCCCTTCGGGCTCTAGTGCAAAAAACAAGCACCCTCCCTGTGATCCGACATCGCAAACATATACAACATCGGAAATAAAAGACACGACCAGAGCCCCGGAACCCATCCTTTTGCGTTATTGTTCGAACCGGATCGATCTGCAACGGTCCCAGGGCCCGAATGCTGGCGAAAACGTCTTGTTCGAAAAAAATCCAGCGCCAAAATCTGAAGGTACCCCCCTTGATGATTGGCCGATGTTCCTCCAGCCCCTCCATAGGTGGGAGAGGGAGGAGGAGGAGAAGGAGGAGGAGGAGGAGGAGGACGAGAAGGAGGAGGAGGAGGAGGAGGGGAGGAGGGAGGAGGCGGAGGAGGAGGAGGAGGAGGGAGGGGGAGGAGGAGGAGGAGGGGGAGGAGGAGGAGCAGGAGGACGAGCGGATGAGGAGGAGGAGGAGGGGGAGGAGGGAGGAGGATGAGGAGGAGGCGGAGGAGGAGGAGGAGGCGGGGGAGGAGGAGGAGGGGAGGAGGAGGAGAAGGGGGAGGAGGAGGAGGAGGAGGAGGAGGAGGAGGAGGAGGAGGAGGAGGAGGAGGAGGAGGAGGAGGAGGAGGAGGACGAGGGGGAGAAGCAGGAGGACCTTCAGCTCTTCCCCCTTCTCCCCCGCCCTACATCATGGCAAGTCGTGGCCCGAAGGGCCGGGCACTCCGCCTGGCCGGCTCCAGCTGCGGCGGCCCAGGGCACCACGGCGCCAGCTCGCGGCCGGGCGGCGCCGCGGGCGGCGGCGGCGGCGCGTCCCCGAGAGCCGCGGCGAGTCGCGCGGCGAGGTCCTCGGCGTCCGCGCTGGGCGCCGCGCCATCGGGGCGCTCGCGGGGCGGCGACGGCGTCCTCACGAGGGAAGAGAGAAATCGGCGCAGGCACGGTGTCTCTCTTTGGGACCTGGGCGTCCCCATCTTCTCGAGCCCGACCCCTTCGTCAGGGCTTCGGGCCCCGGACCCCTCACAGACCGATCGGGCCCGCGACACGGCGCCAGAAGGTGCGGTCCGGTTCGGTGGCAACTCATGGACGCCTCCCATACCATCTTGTCGGCTCGTGAATATCGGCACTAATCGACGCTCAAACGACGCTAGTCGACGCTAAATCGAACCGAGTCGACGCTAGCCGACGCTAAATCGACGCCATCTCATCGACTCCCAGACGCTCATCGACGCTAGTCGACGCTGAGGACGGACTTGCGAGGGCACACAAGGCGCCTACGAGTTGCTACCGAAGTCCGTGGTCTGCGGTCGAGATTCTGACCGGCTGCCCAATCGTTCTCGGGGATCTTCTGACCCGGGTCAATCCAGACCAGGGTCAGTCGGGCCCCTGGCGCGGGTCAAGGGTCAATGCGAAAGATCTTGCAAGATCTTGCAGGAGCCTGCACCCAAGCCCGGGTCAGTGCGCCCCTGGCCCTGCAGGATCCTGCAAGATCAGGCGCTCTGGCTGACCCCCGTTTGCACTGACCCCCGTCTCAAGGCTCCCGACGCCCTCCGGCCGGTCGGATCCCGGGGCAGGAGGTCCGCACGGAGGTCTTGCTGGGGGCCAGGCCCCCCCGCTCCTTGGCACGCGGAGCGCGTCAGGGGCAGCGCCTGGGGCGCCGCAGAGGGGGCCCAGCGCCGATCCAGGGACATCCGCGCGGGCCTCAACAAAAAGTTCTGCGAAAGCCGGTTAGACCAAGGAGATCGAACTTACAAGTCGAAAGAGGTGAGCTGGGTATCCGAAACCACTGTAGCAACCTTTAAACTGAATGGAATAATCATGTCTGAACAACAACCTCCAAATACGTAATTCAGCACACGTTCCCCCTATCCATCTAACCATGTTCGTCAATTCCCCTTAGCCGCTTTCGTTGTCGAAGCGCTTGTGTTGGATCCAACAGATTTAATGGTTGTGCTGGCGATTGCGCGACCACCCTCATTACTGTTCAAGCGCTTGCGCTTGAAAGTGGTGGTGTGGAATACCACGCATTGGAGCGCTTGCGCCTGCGCCTGCTGGGTGGATTGAACAGAGCGCCGGCGCATGATCGGTTGCAGCGCGTGCGCTTGCTGCTTGCCTTGCCACACAGGGTTCTGCCAGGAGCTCTCCTCTGGCATTCCCAGAACAAAAAAAACACAACAACGCCTCCGCACGCCACATGCATCCGCCACGACGCCGGCTCAGTTGCCCACGGCGGCTCAGGCCGCCTCGGGGCCCAGCGCGCGACAAGAGGGGGCCGCCGCAGCCCGATGCGAGGCCGCCCGCCCACCCGCTCGAGAAGGGCGCGCCTGGCGCTGAGCGAGGCCGCGACCCCGACGGAGAGGGCGCAGGCTGCGCGAAGACTGGTGGCGAGGGCGCCTCGGCCGCGGCGGCCGAGGGCGCTGCCGCGGCCGCGGGGGCGGCGAGCAACTCGACCTCGCTCTCGTCTGGGCGGCCCGGGTTCTCCGCGGACGGAGGGGTGGCCCTGCGCAGGGGCGCGGCTGCGCGCCAGATCTGGATCGCGGCCAGGAAGACGCCCCATCGCACCGGCCAGGAGTGGGCGGACGGCCAGGGCCGCGGCGAACGCGGCCTTGCCGCACGCACAGCGCCGCGCAGAATGAGGCCCAGGGCGGCGGGGGTGCGTCCAGAACGACCCACTGAGCGCCCGAGCCGATCACCCGCGACTGGCGCAGGCGCGCAGCCGCAAAGTGTGCGCCCCTTGCCCCTCGCAGGACACGCGACGCAGCAGGTTGCTGCAGGGGGGCTGCGCAGGCGAAGTGCGCGCGCTGAGTCGGGGCCCGCGCCTTGGCATCGCGTCTTTAGGGGGGGGGATTGGCAGGATGGGCGAGAAATGAGGTGGGGAGATTTGGGGGGGGGGCGGGGCTGGGGGGGGCGGGACGGGGTGCAGGGAGAAGCGGGGCGCGGCGAGTTCGAAGCGACGGACCGACGCCGCAGCTCGGTCGGGCATACAATGGTACGTACATGTATCTAGCATTCGCAGGACCACTTTATACATGTGTATATATGTATATACAGAGAGAGAGAGAGAGAGAGAGAAAAAAAAAACACACACACACACACACACATACACATTGGTTTGTTTCATATGTTTGTACGCATCTTAATAATCAGATATATGTTGCGGATGCGCTACCCTTCACTGCATTGTTCGGCGCGTTGTGCCCGCCGCGGGCCCTCAGTGATTTGCCAGCGCTGCGCGCTCGCGCCACTTGGCGCGCGACGCCTGTTCGTGGCCCCATCAGCGCTTTGCGATTTACCCGCCGCGCGGGCCCCAAGCTCCCCGTCGAGGGCCCGCTGGGCCAAGTCAGGCTAGACGCGAGGTCTGAATAAAGAGGAACCGCCAGGGGGCAGTTATAGCTCGGGGTCGCAAGGTGGCTCGGCAAGTCGCGCAAGCCTTTCCTTCGCGATGCAGGAGCAGCAGGTTGTGATTGACGGAGTGGTCAAGGCGCAGCGTTGGGCGTGGATGTTTTGCCCGAGGGGCGGGACCAGGTGGTGAACAGTTACCTCGATGCTGCCGCTGCCCGGGCGGCAGCCTCTTTCTCCTGGATTCTTGCCAGGACTGCTTGCATTCGCGCCGGCTGCGGGAGGCGGCCCAACCTAAGTGCGAGCTGCCCCGTCTCGGGAGGCGGCGGGTGGCTGATGGCGCATCTCATGCACCCGACGCCGCGCCTCGACGTCTGCGACGCGCGGGCACCCGCTTCACGAGAGTGTGGGTGGAGACCAGCAGAAATACGCCTCACAGCCGAAGAAGCGCCAGCAACCTTTCTCTGAAGGCACTCCCTCCACATCAGCAGGCAACGACGTGCGGGGTACGCCGCGCAGGTCGTGCCGAGGCAACGTACCGACTCTCTGCCAGGACTCCGACCACGCTCAGCAGCTTCAGCTCTGGAAGCCACAGTGTGTGCCAAGGTGTGGCCCCTTTTGGAACTGAGCACTCCTTTCCAAGTCTTGTTCGGCCCACGGCACCCAAGCATAGGTCGAATCTCGGGGTCTCTACTAAAAACGAATCATCTCATTCAGCGTGCTCGGCCACACTCCAGCCTTCCCCAATGGTGCCACCCCCCTGGCTTCAAGTATCTAGCCCGAGATCCAGGAGGGCGCCCGAAATTTTCGACAGGAACAACGCGCGCAAGTTTGGCCAGCACGCGGGCCGCAAACAACAACTTGCCCAGGGATATCTGTAGCACGTCCGATGCGTGTTGGGAGGGAGAAGGGTGGAGGGATGAGGAATGCTTGGCAAGGGCCTCTGCGCTCAGGCCGCCAACAGCTGTCTTGGCTGCCCGTGCGCTTCCCTGAATCGCTCCAGGGCGCATGCGGCCACCTCCGGGACGTGCACAACGTGAAGGCGAAGCTCCTCAAGCCGTTCGGCTGCCTCAAGAGCTGCTTCGGGGATGACCTGTCCGAGATCGTTGCCAATCGCGCGATGGCGATGCCTGAGCAGTTCCGCCTCCGTGGAGATCCGACGCCCAGCAGGCTTCTGCCTGCCGACCGGGCCGCCAACGGGAACGCTCAGTTGTGCGCTGCAGCGGCATGGCCAGTGGGGCCCGCCAAGTCAACTGCGTGCGGCGGCGCCCCCATACGGCGACGGCCCGAGAAAGTGAACCGACAGCACCTCCGACGGCGACGACGCGAGTCACAAATTGATCGACCACCACATCTACGACTACAGTCAGAAGAAGCACCGTGGTACCAGCTCCGACGGCACTGGCGACGACGGTCAGAAGCGGCGCGGCGACAGCTCGGACAGCTGCGAAAGAGTGGATCGACTGCGGCAGAAGCCACGACGACAACAGCCGAGAGCAGAGCGGCCCGAAGAAGTGGACCGACTACGGCACGGTCTCTGAAGACAACAGCCAGAAACAGCGCGACAAATGGATCGACTCCTGCACCAGCCCTGACGGCAACAGCCAAAACATTGCGACGACGGCGACAACTGCGACGAGGAGCACTGCGGCGGCGCCGTCGAGGGCGACTAGGAGGGCCCCAACGAGAGCTCGCGCGACTCGACGTCCGCGTCGAACAAGCCGTTGCAGATTATCGAGCATGGCGTGGTGTCCCACTGAACCATCGGTTGAATCTGACGCACGTGCCCGGAGTCGCCAATGATTCTGGGCTTTCGCGGCTCGCCGCGCGCAAACGCGCAGGCGCTCGGCGCGCGCGAAAGACTGGGAAAAGAAGGACACGGAAAATGGCGCATTTAGGGTTCGAGGCGCTTGCGCTCGAGAGGGGTCGGGTGTAATGAGGGGTCGAAGCGCTTTCGCTTGCAAGTGGGGGTAGAGTCAGGGAGTGAGATAGGTTGCAGTTGGGGTTCGAAGCTGGACGTTTCGAAGGTCTATGTCTACGGGGGCAGTTGGCGTTCGAAGCGCATGCGCTTGAAAAGGAGGGGGGAACCATGGATCGGGACTGGGATAGGGCGCAGTCAGGGTAGAAAGGATAGGGTGTCGTTAGGGTTCGAGGCGCATGCGCTCGAAAGGGGGAGCGTGGACATGGCGCCCCCGGCGCTTGCGCCTGGAGCTCGACGCGCGCTCTGCCGCTGCACTGCACTCAGCCGCCCTGCCTGATTGGCGCGGAAGAGTAAACCAACGCCATAGCCGTGCACTTGTGGCGCTCCGCGCGGACTTCTGAGATCCGCGCCGACTCCACGCGGAGCGCAACAAAAGCTTCTGGTTATGGAGTTGTTGTTTCTACTTCGACTCGCGCCACGAGATCCGAGAAATCCGCGCGGAGCCCAAAACAACTTCTGTTTATGGAGTTTGTTCCTCTTCAGCCCGTGCCACGCGGCACCGTGCGTCTGCAACGCTGCCCCCCTCGGTGCGCGGGGGCTCGCGGCCGTCGAGGTCGACCCCGCCGCGCCCTCTCTCTCCCTCTCGCTC